TGCACTTCAAACTCACTCGTGCTCAGCCTCATCAAAGTATTATGCTCACCCGGACTTACTCAGACTCACGGCTCGATATAAGTCTGAATGAGAGGACTGATGTGGCCAGTAGTCTATCATTAGCTTTTTCAACCATGGTAATAATGCTCTTGAAAACTGGTATCTCACATAATCGGTGCTCTTAACAATTATAGTTTCTTAAAATAGAAGTTGTGAGTGGTTGCAAACCAGTAGGGGCATTTTTATTGAAAGGGATGGCAACATAACATATTGTTACAAGTCTGGAAGCGTTTATTGAGAACACTCGGCGTCAGAGAAGTGGTCGTAGTGAGGCTAGGAAAGATGATAACAAAGTGCTCCTCCTCTTTTTTTTTCGGCAGATTTTTTTTCTCGTTGCAGAGGTGCCGTTAAATTTCTTCTCGCGCAGACGAAGCCTGCCGTGCGAGTTAGGCGTTCTCTCGCTATGTGCGTGAATTTAACTGGGGCGACGTGCGTGACTAGAGTTATTGCAGAACGTCGGCCACTGGGTGTGAGGCGCGTGATTGTATAGTTCACTACCCTAAAACAGTCGATGATCACATACGGGCGATCGTAACATGCTAAGAAGTTTGCGCATAAACCACACTGCCATACTAGCGTTCACAACCCCACAAAATCACCAGGGACATAGCTCACAGGACTGTGCTTACTGGCGCATCGGGCCTTTGACGTGGTCCGGGAAGCCAGCGTGCATAGCCACGCTAGTCGACGAAGTTCCTCCACCGACAGACTCCCTCCGCTACTGATAGGTTGTCAGCGGTCGTCAAAAGAAGGATGGTATCCAAATTATCCTAATAAATGTAAGCTTGTTTCTTTTTCTCGCTACCGTGACCCCTTTGAGTTTATCTATTCCATTGCTAATGTTCCCATACATAAAGTTCAATCATTCAAATACCTCGGCATCACCTTAGCTCATGACCTGAATTGGCATCACACTACTAACATCATCTCGTCTGCTAATTAATCACTCGTGTTTCTGAGACGACACTAACGCCATACTCCGCCTCACGTCAAGACGCTTGCATACAAATTATTTATCAGATCCAAACTCGAGTATGCATCTTCCATCTGGAGCCCTCATCAATCATACATCATAAGAAAACTTGAATCACTTCAAAATCAGGCTACCAGGCTCATTCATTCTGCATATTCGTACGATATCAGCATCTCATCTCTAACGGCGGAATCAGGTCTGGAAACCCTTGCTTAAAGCCGACAGTGTGCCATCCTCTCTCTTCTTCATATGTTTTATTACAGTTCACTGAATCATCCGCAGTACATCACGTCCCCTCCGCACATATCCCATTGCACTGGTCATCCGTTAGAAGTCGCAATACCACATAGCCGGACCACTGCGTTCCAAGCCTCCTTTTTTGTAAGAGCAGCAAAAAGCTTCAATGACCTTCCTCACGCCATCTGTGCCATCACTAACAGATATATGTTTGCAGAAGCCATTAAAAACACCGTTGAATTGTTCACTTTTTTGTGATAAACCACCCCTTATGTAATACCCCTATAGGGGGTCTTTAAGGAAATAAAAGTGAAGTGAAGTGAAGTATACTGAGAAGGACGTGCGTAGAGAAGAAAGAATGGACCTTAGCGTGTCGATTTTTGTGTCTTGCCATGTTGGAGGCCTATGTTATAAACGGAAAAATCTCGTCCTAGTTCTTATGATTGGACGCCACGTACATTGAAATCATGTTTGTAAGTGTCTTGGGAACAGTGACCGCAGCCACGGCGGAGGCCATCCCCTGCCCTCGCGCGGTGGTGGCAGCAGCAATTGGCCTCGGATTTCGTCCCTGCCTAACATGCGTTCCGAAGGGAGTGGCGGCAGTCACGTTAACTTTTTCAGCACACTCCCAAAGCATGTGCCGCAGTGTGGCCCTTTCCCCGCACGCTTTACACGCGTCCGTCGGGTATAGATGAGGGTAACGCAGGCGTAGGATCACAGGGCTAGGGTACGTATTTGTGTGTAATAACCTCAGAGCTACGGCCTGTTTTTTGTCCAATTTATTGTGTGGTGGTGGGTATTTGCGTCTGTTTAGTCTGTAATGTTGTGCAATTTAACGCTCGGTAAGTCCATTTTTTTAGGATGGTAAGGTGTTCAATGCCAAAAGGTAGAATGGCGCAAGCTAGTGACACAAGAGCCTCTATGGAGGCTCTTGGCCCTTCCCTACGTAAATAACGTAGGCTCTAATCAATAATTATTGAATAAGTGCGTCAACGACACTGCTTTAAACTACGTGCGATAGTAAAAACGTGAACCAGGTGATGCTCATAGTAATGTTGAAGTAAATAGATGTGACCACCGTTCGACAAAGAAATGTGGAGCTGACTCAGACTCGCTTAAGAAATATACCTTGTGCTTTGGACCCACTCGGACTCCTACTCACCGAAGTTTTTCTGAGCCAAACTCAGTCTACACTCAAACTACCATAAGTATACTTCGGTCGAACGGACTTCGACTCAAATTATCTAAAATATTACTCATTCAGACTCATTCAGACGAACACTCACGGCCAAATCTGAGTCTGAGTAAGTCCGAGTAAGTCGGCTTATGAGAACGACCAAACAAGATACACAATCAGACAGCTCGAAAAAAAGTGTGTTAAAGCAGCTACTAGAACAGACGTAGACTAGAAAGAGAAGGCCGCGAAGGCTTCGAAATTGTTTGACGGAATTCACGAAAAAAATTATGGGGGGAGCTGCTCTGAACTTCGGGGAGTACGGGTGAGTGCGTAAACGCAACGTTGAGCCAAATACGTGGGCTGTAAAATGTCTGTAGAACATACGCTGTAGACTTATAATATAGTCATCTTTAATGGAAAAAAGGATTATTGCTGTTTCTCTTAAATGGCATAGACGTGTCTGCCGAGGAGGGCCAGAGAGTGCTAGCCCCTCAACTGAGAATATCCAGAGGTGGACCATTCCGCTTTCAGCAGTGGTCCCCGTCACCTGGCCACACGGAAACAAAGAAATCCGTGAGATTTTTCATTCCACACGCCAATCACTTACTTATATATTAATTTGGTTTTACGCTTCTCCTTACGATAATGGTCCTCCGTGTCTCACGACTAAGCATTGTACAATCTCTATGATGCTGGCTACCTAGGTGATGGTTTCGCGCCTTCATCTCCGATACGTAGAAGCAATCAAAGAGAGGGTAAAAGGTGACAAGAGGGATTCCGTTGGGGCGTTCACAGGAGATGAGCTGGAAGCACCGATGAGGCAAACGAGCGCAAAACTCACAACTGATGCTAATGAACGAAACCATTCGCGCCGTTTCCCCTCAGGTGCAGGTAGTGATATGCACGATATCGGAGGTACCGGTGCGTGATGGCAACCTATAAAGAGCGGTTGTCGACGCAAACAATGAGATGGCAGATGAGTCGAAACAAAGGCTTTGAGGTAGTCGAAATAAACAGAGAGGTGCATAGTGGATGTGGTTTTCAAAGAGACAGAATTCACTTCGATAGGAGGCTAGGTCATAAGGTGGGTTGGTGACTTTCTGGACGTGCAGTAGCTTTTTTATGGGGCAGGTGGGCCATTCGGGGTGCAGGAGAGCTAGTAACGAGGAAAACAACCACGGAGAATCCTTGACATTCGGTGATGGAAAAACCATAAAAAAGGTAAAGGAATGAAGAAGGCACGTGTTGAAATTAGTTACATTAGTATGCCGCGTGGCAGAAAGAAGGCAAAATGGTTAGAGAGTGAGGAGCAGCTAAACAAGGAACAGATAGGTGTGTATGCGGTTACAAAAAATAACCTTAGAGATTTGTAAGTATCACCACATATTCTGAATTATACTTTGGAAGGATGCAACAGGAGCATATTAGAAAGGAAAGTTGGGGTGTGGAATGCTCATCCGCACCAAAGCCAAATAGGATAGAGTGAAGCAAACGTGTTCAGAGCACCTCTGAGTTTCGGGCACAGTATAGGGGGAAAGTAAACGTGGCTCGGTGTAGCTTACTTATGGACAGGGAATAACTGCAAGGGAAAGCATTTGGAGAGGGGGAATGGCATACGCACCGATATCAAGGTATTTGATCATGGAGCCGAAATAAACCTTTTAAGGGATATGATTGCTCGCATACAGGACCTTGATGGATTGGATTGGATAAACTTTTATTATCAGACACCAATAGCAGGTTCTTGTTAGATCTCTGCGAGCAACATAGTCTTGAGATAGTTAACACGGGGCCTAAGTGTGAGGAGCAGATTATGTGAAAGTCTGACACAGACAATCGAGCATTATTTATTGTCTTATGACAGAGGAAATCGATGGCAAACTTAGAGAGGTGAGAATAGACGAGGAAGGCACTCACAGCGTGGGTATTGATCTTAAACGCATAGCATTACAAATGGGATATAAAACTGAAAATAAGGACAGAGAGTTGAAGTTTGGAAACTCGTGTTGAAATATCATACAAATAACAAATATAGCCTCAAAAGTCGAGGACAAAGTAGGAAAACTACTAGGAAAAGACTGGGAGTATAGTGAGCTGTTACATGTAATGACAAAAGAGATATAAAACAAGAAGAGAACTACTCGTTGGAAAAGAAAGAGAAAGCCTAAATGTTGGTGGAGAAGAGAAATGCGGGAAGGGATCGAGAAGTGACGTGAGGCATCACGGGAGCACAGGCCGGCAAAAAGACAGAAGCGTCCATAGGAAGAAGTCAACAAAATATGGAGAATATATTTAAACATAAAATCATTGTGAAGAAATGGGTTGAGGCGAAAATTAAAGGTGAAAGTGAATGCTAGATGGCAAATATTCGCTATCAGAAGAAGGCCGCACCTAGAATATTTTGGAGCCACCTAAAAGCGTTAGGTAGTGTCGGTCACATTGCAACAACATAAGGTAGATGAAGGAAGAAATATATGGGTTACTTGGGGACGTGAAACCGGCATGGCAGCGGCAGTACCCTTCACGCTGTTTCTGCTGCTTGCGCAGGTTAACGGCGCTTCTGCATGACAATGTCCCCAAAAAGCCACAGCGTTTGTTTCACCAGAAGAATCCACGACGCAAGGACTACGAGCAACGAGCCCTAAAGGTAACGTGGCACCCGATGACTACAGTGAGATGACGCCACCAGACGTTCCGGTATCCAGCGTATGTGCGATTCCTGCCAAACAAACTCTGATTCATTAACGGCTCGATGATAACGGTCAGATTCATGAAGCGGGGCTCTTCAGTGCGCCAGAGGGGCGTGAAACCAGCATGGCTGCAGTGTACCCTTCACGCTGTTCATACTGCTTACGCAGGTTAGTCATAGGGAACCCCCTTTTTTGTTCCCCTTTGTCTTGCCAGTTTCACCCCATAAGTTGTTTGACTGCGTTATGTCACATTCATGCACGCAACACCATTCGCGGAAGCAGTTTCGCTTGCTACGTGGCTTCTCCTTTTATTCTTTTACTTCTGCTATTTTGTGGCTAACTAGAGGTGACTCCGGTACCGTCCATCGAGGCGACACTGTAGCAGCTCTTAGCAGCTCAAAGCATAAAAGAATAAACTAAGTGCTACTGAAACTGTTGAAGCTGCAAACAAGCTCGCTATAAATAATCTGGGCGATTGAATCAAATCTCTTGAAGCTGAATTCATAAACTTTAATGAAATAAAATCATCTGTTTCAGAGTATGTTATACAATGTGAAACTCAAGCACGAGCGATAAAGTCCCTAATGTCAAAGGTTGACGACCTTGAAAACCGCAGCAGAAGGTGCAACCGCATCTTTCACGGTATACCCGACAAAAGTGCTAACGATATAAATGAAGAGTGTGAGAAACGAATCTTAGATATCTGCTCTTCGACCTTAGGAATTCTCACTCTCGGAATAGAAAGAGCTCACCTATTAGGACGTTTTCGTCCTGGGAGAAGCAGGCCCATGATAGCAAATTTTTATTTTTATTGAAAAACATCTCTTAAGCAACGCAAAAAAAGCTAAAGGGCACTGTGACTAGCATTCCCGAAGATTTTTCCGAAGCAGTATGAAAGAAAACAAATCAATTGTGAAAACAAACAAAAACATAAAAACAGGATGACGCGATAGCTATGCTCAAGTTTGACTACCTTCTTTTGAACGGGCAGAAGTTTGTATGCAATGATGCAACAATGCAAGTGACCCCACATAAGTGACCACACCACTCTATAGTTCTGTGAACATTAGTATTCTTTTGCTGAATTGCAGGAGCGCAAAAATAAGAGAGCGGTGTTTTCAGCCTTAATAAAAACTGTTAAAACTTTGGTGTTCTCGGTATGAAATCCTGGTTAAATCCTGACATTGATGACCACGAGGTATTTCCCACAGAATTCACCTGCTACATAAAAGGCAGGAGTGATCGTGGAGGTGGGGTGTTTAGTCTTATTGATAGCAGCAATAGGTCCTCCCTGATTCGCATTGATGCTGGCCTGAGTGATGTAGTGTTGTGCAAATTAGAACTTCCGAACCCCATCGCATTAACTGTCAGTAGCTTCTATAGTCCCCCCCCCCTTTCGAAGCATCCCCGGATGTTCACACTCAGTTTGAAAGTGTGATTGATCAAGTACATACAGATACAGTGGCAATTAGGGGAGACCTCAATTTACAGGATTTGAAACGGGATGCATGAAACATTGTCACGGGTATACTGGAATGCACCATACGAAAATGATGAAAATGGTAAACCTCCATGCTCAATCCTAACCCCAGCGCATGGAAATAATATTTTACACCTTCGGTTTACCATTCCCCAAAACTTGTTAAGTTAACACTTGTGAATCTTGGTATCAGCGACGATCACGCTGTCCTGTAGACAATGTCACTCTCCTATGTTAAAATCAAAAACCATGTTAGTAGAAAACTTCACAATTACAAAGAAGCCATTCTTAATTCTGTAAATGAAGCATTAGAGGCATATTTAGTAGTGTTCGAAACGAAGCCGAGTGCAGGAGTGTGGACGGACTGTAGCAGCTACTTATTCAGAAAATACTGGAATTACGAGAGCTGTTCGCCCCAGCTTGGGTGTTATGGGCGAGAAAGGGTAGAAGCAAATCGTGGTTCACGAGAAGCTTGTGCCAGCTCACAAACACACACACACACACACAAAAATCGGCAGATCCCACGTACCGTGGGAATCGATCATATGCAAAGCATGAATGAGAAATGTTCATAAGTCACTTTAAAATTATCACAACATTACGAGGTGAAGGTAAATGATGCCGTACATGACTTAGGTGTCAAGATTACCACGTTTAGATGTGCCGTTTACCTTTGTGTCTTATTGACGTCCCGTGATACCTAATTTACTATATGCGTAGCTAGCGAAACGGCCGCGAGCACGCTATGAGCGTGGTATGTTGTCATGTTCATACATGACCCGCGTGTCAGGATTATTATGTTTGCACCAGGCATTTGTTTCGTCATTCATTGACGTCAACACAGTATATATATATATATATATATATATATATATATATATGAAAACACAAGAAGGAAAAGAAATCCAAGAAAAAAGTCTCCGGTGCGCGGAATTGAACGTAGGACCTCTGCGACATGAATGTGAGGTGTTAACCACTGCGCACCGTGGGGTACCTCCTTAGACGTTCAAACGCCAAGCTATTTATATCTACTACTTATGGCTGTTGGCGGGCATCTGGGGGGGGGGGGCTATTGTGTTTTGAGCATTATCAGCAAGATGGTGCTGTGAGCACGCAGCGCCTCACATCTCTCACGCGTACTTTGGTCCGCGTAGAGAATAAAAGGGTGTACGCTCGATCGCGTGCCCTTATCTTGCAGTGAGGAGGATTGCACGTCTCGTACGTACTCTGTTGCACATACCGGGTGCACAAAGGTCGCTGCAAGCGTTGCACATCCTTCGTTAGCGAAAAGGGCGCGCTTTTCAGACAGGGCAAAGTAACAACTGAGATGCTTATTCGCGTTCATCTGTACCTGTTACTACATTTCATGCGTCATTTGTGCGTGAGAAACGCGGGGCACGTTTCCATCTGCTTGCCAGTCTGTGCATGGCTTTCCAATTTGTTTCTATCGCGTTCGTTGCTTCGCTTTTGTGGCAAAGCTGTGACTTTTTTGTTGCAAGCCTGGTGGCACATACGTCACCAACCCGTTATAAAGAGGACGCTCGTAGCATCCATCCATCCATCCATCCATTCATCCATCCATCCATCCATCCATCCATCCATCCATCCATCCATCCATCCATCCATACATCAATACATCCATCCATACATCCATACATCCATCCGCCCGCCCGCCCACCCGCCAGCATTGTGGAGGAGGCTCATGCTTAGCAGAGGCTCTTTGATATTGGAACACAATGCCCTGCTTTTATTCTGCCCCGCCTAGCGCGAAATTCAAACTATCAATGACGAAAATATGGGTGGAAGTCCGCTAACACTTTACGGACCAATTCATTTTACAGCGAAAGCTGTTATTTTACAGCGGAAGCTAATTTATTTCACAGGGGAAGCAGTTATGAGATAACAACAAGGGTCACACGCGGCACCGTATAGTTGTTCATCGCTGCCACCGGTGTCCGCAACCATATCACATGAAATAAGAAAAAAAAATTGCCCGCAGCTTCCCTCGGGGGAACACTGAGGAGGATGCGGAGCATATAATTGGTTAACGGGGTGTTAAAGTGCGACTTACTTGGGTCGATGGCTAAATTGGTTAACGTGGTTGTGAAATAGGGTGTTAAATTGCGACTTACTTGGGTCGCTGGCTAAATTGGTTAACGTGGTTGTAGGAGGGGTGTTAAATGAGTGAACGCGTACGACACGTATGCGAAAGGGTTGGACGACGACTTGGTTGCGGTTCCGCCAACACTTTGGCCGGCGCTGGTCGAAGGGACGTCGATCATTGCGACCTCGGACGTCGACGCGCCGTACAAACCAACCGACGAGCGGCAACTGAGCGAGCGAGCACCGACCTTGAGTATATATACAGCGCGACGGCGCATGCACTGTCAGCTGTCGAATGTTCGAGAAGGGAGAGAAGCGCAACGGCGCATGCGCGCGCGTCAGCTGCCGATGTTCTCGAAGCGCGACGGCGCATGCGCGCGCGTCAGCTGCCGATGTTCTCGAAGCGTGACGGCGCATGCGCGCTACATTATACAGCTAGCGAATGTTCGTGAAGAGGAGAAGCGCACGCGGTGTGTAGAGGAGGAAGGGTGCACAGATGGTGGAGGAGTGAAGCGCGCGCGGTGTGTAGAGGAGGAAGGGATGCACAGATGGTGGAAGAAGGAGGAGGAAGCTTGCGGACGGCGCCGCACTACAAGCCTCGAGTATTAGATGCTCCGCATCTAAAAAACCTAGTACCAAAGGCACAGTGGGACTCAAATCCGGATCCACTGCGTGCCAGACCTGTATTATACCACGGAGCCCGCGCTGGTGCTTGGGACTTGTTCACAAGCTTGCCTTAGGCAGGCCTCATGTTGGTAAAGGAATCGCGGTAATATGAGTAATAAAGCTTTTTATAACAGCTAAAGAACCACCAGACGTCACAAAATTCGAATAGCGTAACGAGTGGCTGATCCAATGCTCCAATCGATTACAAAAGCTTGTTCTTAATCACCCTTTAACTGTGGCGCATACCGACTTCAGGCATAATTTCTCAGCGTTGCCAGCCACTGCATGCACCATTGGAACAAAATTCTTTGCTAGTGTTTAGTGGATACCACGTTTCTGCGAAGAATGACGAAGGATAGCATAGCGAATGCCGGCCTACTACCGAGAAATAATTATTATTAATGTCGTAGTTGGTATGAAGCAAGTGTGCTTGGAGCAATTACCCAGTGAATGTTTAAAAAAGGCTCTGAAAGGCCACTCTTCTAGCTCTCGCAGTGAATTTGCTGCGCCTCCACGCAGGCCTGGCGTTTTTGTTGGCTGGATCAGCACTTGTCTTTGTTGGTTTCTGGTTCTTTCGTTTTTTGTGCACAGTTCGCTAGTTGAACGTGGAATATTCACTAGCCTGTAATAACACTCTACTTCAGTACAAGTGAAATTCTCTATGTCATTATTAACTTCATTATCTGCTGGCTTTTACTAATAATACAT